GGCGCGGCGCAGGACTTCTACCAGCCCCGGGAGGTAGGCTCTCCTTTTGCGGGCTCGCGTGTAACGGCGCCGGGCCACCACACAGAACCGCCGGAGGACCGCGATGTCCTCGGTCCACCAGTACGTGGACTTCTTTACTACGGTCCCCCGGACCCGCGTCATGGAGGCGTCGCAGGCGTCCGTTACTACGCCGGTGAGCCATGCCGCCTCCTCCTCAGCGCACACATCCCTCTCAGTGGGGACGCCCCACGTCGCCCCCAGGAGCGCGGCGTCAAACCGGTCCAAATCCCACTCCCGGATCTTCCACCTCGGGAATGTGGACCGGCGTACCTCCGGCGCGGACCCCGCGTGCTCGGACACCTCAAAGGTGACGTAGCGGTGGTCGGACAACGACTCCTGTCGCAACACCGACCACCCCCGCACCATAGGAGCCACCGCTGCGGACCCCAGTGTGAGATCCACAATGGAGGACCCCTGAGGACGGACGCANGTCGGCGCCGCGCCCTCATTCACGACCCGGAGGCCCAGGCCCGCCGCCCACCGCTCGAGCACGCGTCCGCGCCGATCCGTTNGGGGGGAGCCCCATGCCGACGACTTGGCGTTGAAATCGCCGACCACGAGCACANAAACTCCCCCGACCCGCGCCACGCTGGACCTCAGCGAGTCCAGGAACCGGTCGAAGCCGGCCCGGGAACAGTTGGGGGAGATGTAGCAGCTGTACACTGCGATTCTCCCCCACTTCACCGCCACGAACCCGTGGCCTCGGTCTACCACACCTCGGACCACGGGGCACCCCGGCCTGTGAGCCCAAGTAAGGGCGGCCACGCCGTCTTCGTCACCCGCCCACACCGGGGATTCTGGTACCCGCCAGGGCTCGGCAAGCGCCANCACGCCCGCCTCCTTCTCTCGCATGACCTGTAGCGCCAGGTCCTGCGCAGGCCCGCTATGGTTAACGTTTACCTGAACTACGCGGGCCATCGTGCGCGTCTACCTCCATGGCCTCCTGCTGGCCATGGGCGACCGTCCTCCGCACAGTCGTGGTGCCTCTTTTGGGGCCGTTGCGCCCTTTCGCGCGCGAAGGGCACGCTTCCCCCCCCAGTCTGTGCGCGGACGGGAGACCTCGGTCCGCGCACAGAACGCACCGAGCCAGACCCTGGCACAAGCGGGACTGGTGGCCGGCCTTGCCGCACCGGTAACAAAGGCCGCTCCTGTCCACGGTGTTCCGGCACGTCTGCCTGACATGGCCAAACTCCAGGCACTTGAAGCACTGGAGCTGGCGGCCAGGCAGGAGCGACACTCGCACGCTCGACCACCCCACGCGAAGGCGGCCGAGCTCGGCTACTTTTGTGGCCACCTCCAGTGGGCANCTCACCCACACCGCACCGAGGCGATCTCTCCCCTCAGTAACCGGGCCCACCGCTATGTCAGACGCCTGACAGCCGCCAAACTCGACGGAGCTTAGGCGGGCTACCAAGTCGTCAGCAGACACTGAGTCGTCCAGTCCGGTGAGACGGAGTTCACCTTTGCGGACTGGGCGACTAACCGTGGCTTTTCCCTGTAGTGCGGGGGATAGGGCCTCGGCCAACCGCGTGGCCTTGGCAGCGCCGTCGGGGCCCGGGATCTCGACCAAGATCCCACCCCCCACGTCCTTTCTCACGCGGGTCTCATCGATGCCCAGACCGGGCAGCGAGACCTTCTCCCGCGCAAGGCGCATGACGTCGGCGTAGGAAGGCATCCTACCCAAATCGTCAGGGGCGCACCTGATGGCCACCGCCGCTGCCGTACGACGGCGTCGTCGACGGCGACCGCCTTCGGCGGGAGCCGTGTGTTGCTGGCTCCCGCCCGCCCGGGTCTTAGGCGGACCTCNAGGGAGGTTTCCCTCCCGCTCTCCTCCCGCGTTGCGCGCGGAGTTGCGTTTGCCGCGGCGCGCCGCCGCGGCCCAACCGGCCTCCCCAGAAACGGGAAGGGGAGCCGTACCCGATCGCGTCGCGGACACTTCGCGGAGGAAACTGTTCGCTCCTCCACGAGCGCCGTCTTCGGCCCCCCCCCGCCACTCCGGACTTGACAGGAGCTGGACCGGCCCCCGAAGGGGGGTTTTCCTTCGGTGCTCGAGACCGGGGCGGCGCACCGCCGCCGCCGCTGCGTGAGCTCTCGGGGGGGGATATCGCACTCAGGAGCTGCTGCAGCAGCTCCTGCACCCCCCCGAGCTGACGCTCAATTGCTGACACTCTTGACTGGAGAGTGTCAGCCTCTCCCTTCCCGCCCGGGACTACCCGGGCACCGTCCAGGACTTTAACAGTCCCGCTCACCATCGGCCGGACCGCCGGTGGGATGACAGTCCCGGGAGGAAGAATCTCCATGGCCGTGATGACCGGGCCGCGGGGGGGGTCCGTCTGGACGGACGCCTCTCGACCCGGGCACTTCTTTGCTTCCGCCCGCGAAGCTGGAGCCGGAGCAATCCGCTTCTCGAACTGCTCCCGGAGATCGTTAATCTCCCTCCGGAGAATTCTGTTCTCCGCCTCCACTAATAGCAGTAACTACCACCGAGAAGGTGAAAAGTTCCCGAAAAGTCTCGGAATTTGTCAAGATAATTTTTGATGAATATAAACATTTTGTTTATTAACACATGCTGTGTTCAATGACACATAGTCGATATTGTATATTTAGGATAATTTAAGAACTAAGACAACTAGGGCAAAAGTAATTTTACAGAGGCCCTTCATTCACTGGTTTGTAACTTATGGCGATGAGTGAAAATAAACAATTTAAATATCTCGAGAACCATAAGAGTTACAGAAAAACGGTTTTTTCGATCCTTCATTCTATTACTTAGATGCAAAATGCTAGGTAATAAAACTTTGATAATTTTAATTACTTAAACAATTGTTTGTTAACAACAATATTTAGACGTTTTGAAACACATTGGTATTTTGCAGTTTTTTACGCTGAAGACGATGGTGCAAACCGTTTTTCTTTTTATCTTTTTTAGTTTCTAAAATGCTAATTTTGCACCTTACGGGTTGCCGCCTGGTTCTGATCTGAGTTTACTTAACTTATGACTAACGGTACCAAAAAAATTTGATGATACCTAATGCGGGTTGATAAATTATTTGGAAACTTGGTTTTTGGCAATTGTTACTTTACCGACCGTGGCAATTGTTTAAGTATGGTAAAATGATGGTACTGGTAATATTACCAACTCTGGTACTTGAAAGGAACGGTAGTTATTAGTAGAACCCGTTACCGGCATGAGTTATCTCTTAACTTTGTGTCTGACGGCTTATTTTACTGTACTCGCATCTATTCAAAGTCTACATGCTATGGTCAAGAAGCGCAAAGCCTAAAGGCGGTGTTTTTAAGGAAGACTCATTTGACCGATCAGAACACCTTTTGATTTCTAACCAGGTTTTTGAAGTGACTTTTGAACGAGACTTACCGGGTGGTATTTACACGGGTTTAAGGAGCTAAAAGACGCGATAAAGCTACTGACCAATCAGATCGTTCCTCAATCTTTTGACCATGTTCCTGAACGTACTTTCGAGAAAGAGTTAGTGGACCCTACTCGCAGGCGTCCAGAGAGTCCAGAAATTGCAACAAAATTATTGACCAATCAAACGCGTTTTGCTGAACTGGTTAACCAATGAGATTTCTTGTACCTCTTTTAATGGTTCAAAACATGAATTTCAAGAGAAGGCTAACTTGGCGTAGTTGCTACGTGCTTTGTCAATTAGTACGTCAAGTTCTTGCACTTTAGCCAATCAGGTTGTCACCAGGGAATCAGCCAATCAGATGTTTTTACTGATTGTGAACGACTTCCTGAACGAATTGTGAAGAAGACAACAGTTGTCGCGACTTGTAGGAGTCTAGAGACTTAGAATTGACAAAAAACTGTTATGACCAATTAGAGGATTTTACGAGTTTTTAGTTTTCTTCTCGGCCGATTTTAAGAAAAAAAATTACAAGAGATGACTTACAAGGACTTGACGAGTCGGAATCCACAATAAAGTGACTGATCAATCAGATTGTTTGTTACTAGGAAGACGACCAATCAGATTTTGTCATAAGGTAAAACAGCTAAATTTTACTCGTAGGCTATCAAAACGTGTAGTATACGTTAATCCTTTGCACTCGTGCGGCGTCTACTTTTGGTGTATTCAATATAAAAATAAATAAATTAGTGAAATTTTATTATTTATATACGTTTGTTTAAGTATAAATGATTTTAAAGTACCTGTAAAATGTTTCTCTATAACATAGCCGAAATCGTCTTGAGTTGCTGGTTCGCGCGAGCGAAAAAGGCCTCGAGTGCAAAGGGTTAAAAGCAGTTATATGAACACAATGAATGCAAAACAACAGTGAGAATGACACTTGCAAAATTGGTAGGTACAAAAACGCGGAGTATTAAATTCTTAAGTTTAGGTGATGACACAATGGTTCGGACCGTAGTTTAACGTCTTTGCGGACGCTTGACAATGGGATATACTACTGACAATACATGGTAATAAAATAAGATATTAAGGAAAAAACAAGAAAGAGAAAAAAAGAAAAAGGTAAACTGGGTCAGCCGGGGTTCACCATGCCCACGTCTACGGACGGGACAACAGCATCGACCTTCTTTGGATCGGGTTTTCACCGTTCTCGCTAATAACATGTCCGAGATAAGACACTTCTTTACGCAAAAACTCGCATTTGTCGGGCTGAAGTTTAAGATTCGCTTTTTTAAGTCTATCAGTTAGCTTATTAAACTTAATTTCATGCTCGTGAAGAGAGCGCGCATATATGACTATATCGTCCATATAGATGAATAGCTCGACGCCTTGCAGGCCAGACAAAACCTGGTCCATCATGTGTTGAAATTTTTGAGACCAAATGGCATCCGCTTAAACTTATAATGGCCATATGGCGTCGAAAATGCAGTTTTAGGTGCATTATTCTCATGCATCGGAATTTAGTGGAAACAGGAAGCGAAATCTAACACGCTAAAATACTTAGCGTTTTCGAGTTGGTCTAAGATATTTGTTATATTCGGTAAAGGATACGCGTCACCAACTGTTTTTTCATTTAAAGCTCGATGATCTATAACCATTTTCCACCGTTTGTTACCGTGGGAATCTGGTTTTTTCGGAACTATCAAAAGCGGTGAATTATACGGTGAATTTGAAGGACTCACGACTTTGTTGTCGCGAGCAGGTGTTTTACCTGCTTATCTATCTCTTTTCGATAAACCGGCGGGAATTTATACTGTTTTGTATGGATCGGCACGTTATATGTAGTGACTATTTTATGTGAAAGCGCTTTCGTGCAACCAAGCTTATCGTTTGACAGGCGAAACAAATCGTTATGTTTAGTTACCATTTTACTGACGTGTTCTGACTCTTCCTCATTAAGGTGATTCAAGCAAAGTAGACTTTGTATTTCTTTAACCCTGTTTTCTACCTGAGACTTTGCTTCAACAGCATACACAGCTTTCTGTTTTGACTTTGAAACTTGGGGACTGCTGCTATCAGTTGGACCTCGGTCAACGTTGCAGGCTGACTGGCGATTTACATCACCGTTGGCGTGCCCTAAGGACGCATGGAAATTTAAAGAAACGCGTGGAAACGACTTAAAAGAAGACACTGAATCAATGACAGCACTGCTAGAGGTGTTTGATTCAGATGAAACTAAAGGAAAAACTGACGTGTCTACACCGGACACAGACTTTGACTCAGCGGACGATGAGGGACTTGAAGCTGACTTTGCAGCGGATACTACGACCGAACTGGCTTGTCCTAAGACAGCCGGAACTTGTGGAACTTGCGACGCTTTTTCTATCTATTCTAACTCTACTGTCGGGACAATTACTTCGCGGTTGTCAGTACCGGAGTTACGATTGGAAGATACGCTCGACCTTCCCGGTTTGTTACTACGGCTTGGCCGACATATACTCCCTTGCAGACGCTAAGTCGTGGGATATATCCTTCGGCTACACCCGAGTTTTTTACCTTCACACAAAAGGTAACCTTTGATCGTGCAGGAACTATAACTGTTACTCGATTGGAAAACAGAATTTTTACGCCATGCCAGATTAACGCTTGCCGACTAAAATTACTTTGCGGTGATCCCTGCAAAAAGACAGTTTCTAAGATGCCTTCTTGAGCGATGGGGAAGTTGTCTGGGACGACATGAAGAACTACTGGATGTCCCGCAAAGGTAACGGTACCTGTTCCGAGGGTTTGTACGCACACTTTAGTTACTCCTGTAACATTACCCACTCGATCTGATGAGATTAGAACGCCTGGACGTAGGCTTCGTTTTTTGATAACATTGATTGACTCACCCGTATCAATCATGAACGCGGTTTCTTTTAAAAGTTCGTCAGCGTAGATGGTAACAGTGGGTGCTTGACCGTAGCTTTCTGGGTTTAGGACTGTGACTCTACTTTCTCGGTTTCTGTGGTGGTTATTGGGTTGACCGGACGCGAACTCTCCGCTCGGGGCTGGTCCGGACGTCCCGAGGGGCCTAGTTCGTTTCCCTGCTGAGTTTTTAACGAGTTGTAATACTGTCGCTTTTGACACTCGCTTATTTCATGTCCTGGCGGTTTGCAAAACTTAGCGGTTTGCCGTAAAGATTCTAGTCCGCGACTTTCTACAGGACGCGGTCGTTCGAATTGTCGATCATTTTGCGGACGTGGCTGTTGTCCGGACGGACGATTAAACGCGTCGTTATATCTGGAGGCATTATTTCGCGGGAGAC